CGTTTTCTTTAGTGATTTTATAACTTCGGTTTTGGTCTCGTTGTAGAGACGGGGGGGATCGCTGTGTCAGTAAAGTATCTTTGAGATGGGACGTGTACAACATAGCGCGAAAGTCCTGTTTCGCAACGACTGAGAACCGGCGTGCAGACTGCAGGTCACATAGCAGCGATGCGTTATTCGCATTTATAAGCAGCGCAGTTGGTTTCCTGGTATTTTAAATCTACAACGAGAGACTGTCACACTAAAAAGTGGCGAAGCTGAAGTCAGCTTATCTTTCGAATTCTCCCGTCCCACCTTAAATGGTGTCGCATTTACATTCGGCGCCTCAGTTAGAAGCTGGAGAATAAGAAGCGACTTCAGCCTCGTAAAACAGTCGAACGTTGAGAGAAATTCAACTGATCTACTTCTGAGGAAGAGTTTTCTGGCGGAGATGGGAGGAAAGCGGCTGAAGGCGAAACTTAAAGCAGAGCGAAGTAAATCTGCGTTTTCGTTTATATTGTTTAGTCTATACTAGGACATTAACACATACTTAGACATACTGGACATTAAATGTTGTGGCTGCCAAGGTGGTTTGATTTTTGTTGAAAGAACAAAATGGCTCTTCTGAACATTTGGGTTGTGACTCCTGATCTAACCTGGCTTTTAATGCAGAGGGAGCCGGTCAGATTTTTCACTCATCCAGTAGTGTTTTTGTTGTGTGCCGTCAGAGACTGTCCGGGCGCTGCATTTCCGCACTTCCAAGTTCCACCTTTTGCATTCCGTCAACATTACGTTATAAATTAAATATTTAGAAAATTGATTTTTGACATTTGTGAATCGATTCAGAATCGTTCACGTCCGCATCGCGATGCATCTAAGAATCATTTTTTTCCCGCACCCCTAGTAGATAGCAAGTGATAGAAGCTAATCACTCTACCAGTTAGCATCGGGAAGACTGCATGCCTGAATAAAGACTGCCTTAACTTTTTGTCTTGGAGAGCCAAAGTGCAATGTTTGTGGTGGGCCTAGAACCACTATACAAATAAAGAAGGTGGGTAGGTTATAACATTAGGTACGGTAGGTATAAGGTATTTTATAACATTGTACTGCTAAAATAGTTCAAAAATAGAAAAAGGAAAATAAGAATGTAATAAGTTATATACAGTACAAAACTATGTTTTTCTCTTTGTTTGGATGAAGGGGTGTGGTTAAAGTAACTTTCTGACAGGCAAAATCAAACATCCTCATGGGACCACAGGACACAGTTTGGACAGTCCTGGCATAAATCAATACCAGATGTGTCTTGGCTGATCAAGTACATTTAGGATAAGGGGAAAATTGTGTAAAACTGATTTTACCATCACTTAAAACTTGTAATCTTGTAAACTTGAAAGCTATAATTTCTTAATTTAATTATAATATTTTTTTCATTTCTGTTGGTCTGTGTATCATGAACTGTTCACATGATCTAAAGAGTAGCGTGCTTATTAAAACTGGAGTAAAAACAGTAAAAAGAATAACTGGACTTAGAAGATGACAGCGACCATTTCCGTTCAGTTACGCTTTTGTATTCAGTGAAAGCACTGTACGTTCATTGTAAGATGACTGTGAGTGAATGCATATGTAATTTGGACATTTTATCTGACAATTAATATGATCTTAAGTCTACAGTGGTTCTGCAAAACTCATTTAATGTCTGTTCTGCTTTAGCCCGTTCATCAAGTGAACTGCATTCATATGGTGAATCCAGTCTTTTACCACCTGCACATGCAGGCGTGTAGTATCTGTGTGTGACTGACTGAGGTGTGTTAATGAGAGAGAACTGTTTGGAGTTTGAATCATAATTAAAACACACTATTAAAAAGTCTGAACACAAATATCCATCTTGTTTCTCTATCAGACTAGAGCGTCTGAATAATGATAGGATCTCGTTCTTGTTAACGCTCTGCATTTTAATTGCGTTTTGCATGGCTGGGTAATTCATTTCTGTTTTTTTTTCTTCTCTTTTCAAACCTCCTCTACTACATGAACAGAATGTGAAATTACCTCAAACTTTATGGGACTGCAGCAGATTCTGCATTATGCATTGTGTTAGTATGTGTTGACATAGGTTCAATATTGAATATGTAATATAAAGGAAAGGAATTAATAAGTATAGTGGCTGACTTTTGTCAGTGTATGAAGTATGTATGATGACACAAATTCTAATTAAAAGCAGGGAAATCTTAACCTCCATCTCTGACACACATTTCTCCAGTTCTGTGCTTTAGTAACATTAACAACACGTGGATCTATAGGACATACATGCTATTCATGCATACTTACTAATAACACAATCCCCCCTAACCCAATTGTAGTGGATCGGCTGAGATGTTTGGCATCCAAAATTTTCTTATTTTTTTCCTTTGCACTGGAGCTATGAGGCTTATGTGGCTGAGAAGTAATGGAAGCCTATGCTCCACCAGTTAGCATCATGCAAATGGTATGCCTAAATCACCACACACCAAATAAGTCTTGGCTAATCAACTACATTTGTAGGGTTTGGAATTGGCCTAATCATCACTTTAAAATCTATTAATGTAACTGTTTAAAACCTTTTAAATGTTCTATTGATCCATTCATCGTCGAATGTTCACATAATCCTGACGAACTTGTTTTTATCATACTTTTACTCTTATGTTTGTTGCTTTAATTTGTTTATCTACAGTGGCCCAATATAAGATTCCAAACAACATGTAGCTCAATGACAAATTAATAAACAAATGCACCATAATTTACACATGACCATCTTCTTCTCTGCCCTGTTAGTCAGATGGCTGTAAATTAACCAATCCACTGTGACTGGTCGTAAGCCGTGGTCACACCGAACATGAGCAGAATTTGCTTGGTAACAAAAAACAATTCACTAGAATGGAAAAGGATGTAGGGATGTGAGAAAGCAATGCACTTCTGGTAGCAGTTAATTTGCATCTAGGGACCCTGCAAAATTGCAAACCTGGGATGCATGAGCCCAGAAAAGTAATCTCTTAAAAGTGATCTCTTTCTTTTGAATGATGATGTTGATGCTCCTATTTCTTTTTAACTAGCTATCATCAGCCATTCACCAAACTATATGTTTCCTCCAAAGCCAAACCACATCAGGACCACCCGTACTCACCTTTACCCCAATGTAACGAAACTAATTGACACTGTAAAAAGGTGATGCAGGGTCAACTTCTCACATGTAGAACTGTAAATGTTAAAAGTCGATGCTGTAAGATGTAAACACTGCTTAAAATTGCACTGTACTAAGTTTATGTCCCCACATTTAGCCCAGCAACCTACTTGATGTTTTCAGTGATTAGTAGTACTTAAAATGGCCAATGAATGTAGGTAGTAAGTATTTGTACCTAATAAACTGGCAAATCTGTTCCATAAGGCACTCCTCACTCAGTGTAGTGTTTTGTATCTTATTGTGCTACTATGAAACACGAGAGCTTTTATGTGCCACAGATATGACTGAGAAGTCTGAAGTAGTGCAGCTAGGCTGACTATACTAACTGAAGTTAGAAAGGATATTTCTCTCATCTTAATATTACCTCTATAAATCAATATGTTTCCACATCATTCACTGAGCAGGGAATAATTTACATCATATAGAAGATGACAGCTGCCCATCGTCTAATGAAACTGTTAGCTCTAGCATTAGCTCATGTACCGATTTAACTCACTGTGGCTAAAGAAGTTTCCTTCGCTTTTGAATGAGCAAAGCTGGTTATTTTTTAAAAAAATCACTGTGCTGTTCAGTTGATTTGGTAAAAGTAAGTAAATCTAAAGCTACAAAACTAACACATGATTCTCAGTGGTCATCATTCAGAATGTAAACAGTGGCTGGAAAAATTAACCCAGAGGTCTATTTTGGTTTTTTATTTATGTCAGCCAGCTAAACTCTTTCCAATGTTTTCCTCTTCAACCTAAACACAGCATGATTGGACATACTGCTCTAAAAATGAGCATCATCTTTTTACGCAAGATTAGCCATATGCGAGTTCACAACTAAGGTTGGCGCATGTTAGTTTAATGATTTAACTTTTGACAGTGGCAACTATTTTCATTATACCACAGAAGATCAGTCTAATGTGTCTGTGTGTTTATTGCAAGGAATTTTAAGGAGCGGCTGCTGCTGAGTTTGCTGTGGTGACTGTGGTGGTCCCCCTGTCAAGCTTGTCCACCTGATGTCACAATAGCTGTTCCACTGGCTGAAATCAACTGTGTGGTTATTTACATTGCTTACATTAATGTTATATGTATGTATTAGATATAAAAGTTTTTAAAGTTGATGGTTTGACCAAAAAACTATTTTACACAATTTTCCCCTTATTGCAAATGTAGTCAATCAACCAAGACATGATTGGAGCCTAAGTACGTGATGATGTAGATCAGGGCTGGCCAAAGTATGGCCCATGTGCCAACGTTACCTCATGTGGACGTTTGTTTTGGCCTGCCAGAAAGTTACCCCCTCACTCAGTGAGAGAACAAACATATATTCATGCTATATATAATTTATTAAATTCTTAATTTCCTTTCAGATTGTATTTTTGAAGTATTTTGTCAACAACATATAGTGTAAGGTTATAACATACACTACTGTATACCTGCTTTCTTAGTGATCATTCACACTGCTATAGTAAAACCAGGAAGGAACCACTTTATTGGAGGGACAGTTTAGGCTGGGCACAGTTTACATAACAGGAGTTAAGCTGGCGTCATACAGAGTGGCTGTCAGTATAGTAGTTAAAAAGACGTAACTTAGTTCAAAGGTCTTTTGGTTACAATATGTCAGAGTGGACCAGCTCGGCAGAGGGAGCCACTACTGCCACCACACTGCATTGGCAGTGGTTTGTCCATGCAGCCTTGCGTTCCTCACTGACAAACGCAAATAAAGATCACAAAACAAGTGTGCCACCTGGGATGGGGCCGAAAAGGCCCACTATCTTGGTGTGAACTACATTGCCCATAATCCTTTTCTCTCTCTCCCACAGTGTAAACTGGAGTTCCAGGCATGCATTTCAAAAAAGAGCATCTCAGCCAAATGTGAGGGACCGTGCCCCTGTCTGCCTGGACAGGAAGTCATCAAACCCCACAGTGAAAAGAATGGTGAGTCACTTGTTTCATCACTGCATTGTGGGCGTTTTATTATGTAGGCATAACAGTCTCAGCAGGCCAGTGCAATGTAGACATTTACAAGGGAAGTGTGGCTAATTTGAGAAGTCATACTGCTGTTTTTAACACTGTTACTGCTCACATCATGCTGTTAAGTGGCAAAATTGCTGCTGCAGGTTCTGTATTTAAAGAGGGAGGTTTATTTTTCAAGTAACCATCTAAGGATGATACAAAAAAGTGGCTACTATTGCCATTTAATCTACTGTTCTCCATTAATAATGTGTTGTCTAGCATGATTAATTTTGATATATGTAGAACATGATCTAACAAAGCTTTTTTTTATTAATTTATTTGTGTCACAAACTGTTTTTATCATTTTCAGCAAGAAAGCACATGAACAGGAATATAATTCACACTCCATTTGCTTTTAATTGTTATTCTGATGAAGGAAATCAATAATAAGCCCTGTGTATCCAGCAATAAAACGGCATGGAGCTTCTTTCATACAGTGAAAGAAAACACAGCAGCACACAGAAAGCTCGAATTCCACATGCTGATCCAATTTGACCAATGCGGACAAGTACATACTCCAACTGCTCTGGCAGCAGATTTTAATGAGATAAAGGTGACAATGACAAAGTCTCTGGCGATATCATTGGGTGTGTTTACATGCACTCAATAATCTGATCGTGTTTCTGCATTATCTGATTATTCAAATGGTCATGTAAACAGCATACTCTGATTTCCTAGATCGGAGTCTAGAAATCTGAAGGTCTAGAAATCTGATTAAGAAATGTGATAAAGAGAGCTGAACTTTAGCTCAGTAATCAGATTTCCCAGTGCTTGTAAACTCCTACTCGGATTTCTTTCGGATTTCTCAGTCTGCGCATGTGCGAAAACAGACTGCGGTACCGGAAATAAGCAAGCAGTGTTGCGACGCTGAAACCAAACACAAAATGAAGGATTTAAATATTCTTCATATTCTAGATGATGTATGTTCATATTTTCAGGTAAAGTAGTGCAATGTTTTTTAAAAAAGCTGCAGTGTGAACTTTGAGTTTTATGTTTTCCTCACCTCTTCTTCTGTGAGTTTACTGGCTGGTTGCAAAGCAGAAATCTGATTACTGCCTAACTCATTTAAACCCAGGGATTACTGACAGTCTGATTTTTTTGCAGTTATCAGATTATTAAGTGCATGTAAGCACGCTCATTGACAACACATTTGGTTCGATAGGCTTAAAAAGGTTTAGATCCTGATTTAGTCCACAAACAAGTTCTTCATTATTTGGACAGACTATACATACAGCTATTGCTGCTGTATGTATAGCTACTGTCACAAAACCTTATACTGTCGACATGGTAACTTTGCAGGAGAAGGAAAACACTGGGTGTTAACCTATTGAGATTTTATTGTTGTTTTGGACCATTTCCATTGGTCCTTTCATCATGAAATGTCACACAAGGTGATGAAATTGTGTGAATGATTTGCACTTATCTGTGCTCATTTGCTCATACAGATGTCTACCATTACATAGAATCATGTGTAGAGTCAAACAAAGCTTCTTTGTTGTCTATTAAGTGTGAAAATATGAGCAAAAACACTTGTTCTCTGGAGTGCAGCTAGCATAAATGCTAATAATATAGTGTTGGCTTCCTAACTAACTTATGCTGCCCTAACAAATGCTTTAAACAATGATAATTTCAAAAGTAAGCAACTGACACATGAACATGCTGTTTGAGTTTCTGTACCAATGATCAGTATTTCTGTTTTTTCATGATTTAATTGTAGAAAAATTTGCGACATCCAGTGAGAAATATCTGACACACAGATGGTCAGTCTGTCTACAGAGTCTTGATCATCAGAAGGAATGGAAGTGTATAACTGGGTGTCATCAGCATAGCTATGAGAATTGATATTATGTTTCCTTATGGCGTCACCTAGAGGTAGCATGTACAAAGAGAAAAGCAAATGCCCTAAAACTGAACCTTGAGGAACTCCACAAGAAATCTTTTTGATGAATGATTTCCAATTGAAACCAAGAACTGCCTATTACCTAAATATGATTTAAACTGTTCTAAAACTGTGCCTGAGGGGCTGACCCAGCATTCAAGACGCTGGATTAAAATCTTGTGGTCACGTAATAGAGCTTGGTAACTTTATCTTTACCGGAAAGAGTAACAAATTCATTGATATCAGTCTTGATCAGATAAACAATAAAACTGGAACTTTCAGTACTGAGCTGATGGCCAATGTTAAAAGCATAGCTCCATTTTTCTGGTACCAAAGGTTACAGTACTTTATGCAGTGGGAAATGACCCTAGCAACTGTAAGTGATTTTTTTACCCCAGCAGAATCATCTGAGCTAAACAGCAGGAGTGAGGATTAAAGCTGATGTCAAATCATAGAGGAGATTTGAGCAGCATACAGCTAGACGAGAGTAACTGAGCTGTACTTCAGCTGTTATACACACACGTGTGTGTGTGTGAGTGTGGTCACTGTGCCTTGAGGCAAAGGTTAGTCCCAGTAAATGGTGAATTAAAAGTTTCAGAAACTGAAGATGAGCTCAGAGAGAGAGAGAGAGAGACAGTGTGTGTGAGAGAGAGAGAGAGAGACATAGAGTGAAAGCAGTTTACATGAGGACAGTTCATACGTGTGTAAGTTTTGCTGTTAGTGTAAGTTTTGATGATGCACCCAGGAATAATCGTGTGTGTGTGTGTGTGTGTGTTAAATTCATCTGTTAAATTCCTCTACTACTCAAAGGTATTTCCCAAAGGCATCCCGATAGACCTCTCGCTCCTACAGAGTAGCGCGAAAACCCCCCTTCTCTCTCTCTCCTTCTCTCTCTCTCTCCCTCCGTCCCTTTCTCTCTCTCCTCATTCTGCTGGCTGCAGGCCGTGGCTCTAATGCTGTTAGTAAAGAAGGCCGTCTGCTCAGAGGATGAATCACACATCCGCTCTGCTTTCCATACTGGCTGCTGCTTACAGCGTTTATCTCTCTTTCTCTTCCTTCTCTCTCTCTCTTTCTCTCTCTCTCTCTCTCTCTCTCTCTCTCTCTTCTCAGTTTAGTTCAGTTCAGTTTAACAGTGCTTTTCTGGCATGAATGTAGAGATACACCGCTGCCAAAGCAATAAACACCTTAACAATAGACATGTCAAGATAAATAAAAGAACAAAAGAAAATTAATATAGATTACAATACAGCACTAGGAGTTATTCACAGGCCTATTAGTAATCAATAAAGAAAAAGAAAAATGCCTCTCTGCCCCCTTTCTTCTTATTCCTTTCTTTGCTCTGTTACTCTCCTGAACTGAGACCATATTAGGGCAGATTGTGTTATTAACTGTCACACTGTTATAAACTCTGGGGGTTCCAATCAGCAGAGATCACAACAGGGCCGATCAGCCAATCAGGAGTCCTGACATTTGCATATTTTTGAGGTAGCTATGGCAACATCAGTTGCAGTTAGTTGATGATGATACCCAGGTGGCCTCCAGCTCTGTTCTTCCAGTTTTATTCCTCTGTCTCCTTCTCTTTCTCTCTGTCACACCTGTCACTGCTGAAGTTAAATTTCTGTGTAACGTTGCGACAAATATTTGAACACGAGAAAGAACAAATCTCCAAAAGCTGAGAGCTCACACACTTTCTTAGTTACTGAGATTTCTGCAGGAGTGTGTGTGTGTGTGTGTGTGTGTGTGTGTGTGTGTGTATGATGTCTATATTTTAATGGCCTCAAAGTTTTGACAAGATCTTTAATTGGAAAAGCTCTACGTGAACCAGATACAGCTGAATATATTACAGTGACAATTATGTCACACATACCCACACAGAGAGAGAGAGAGAGAGATGGAGAGAGACAGACAGAGAGAGACAGAGAGAGATACAAGGGACAGAGAGAGAAAGAGGAGAGACAGCCAGAGAGAAAGTGAGAAAGGGAGAGAGAGAGAGAGAGAGAGAGAGAAACAGAGAGGGTGACCAAGAAAGACTGCTTCATTATGACTTTAATTTACCCTCACTCTTAAGATCGGTGTGTGTGTGTGTGTGTGTGTGTGTGTGTGTGTGAGAGCATGCAGGACTTCAACAAAAAAGAAAAAATATCAAAAGCATTCTCCTTCTCAATCTATTTTTCCATCTTTCTTTCTCTCTGTCTCTCTCTCTTTCCGCTATGGTGGTGTGTGTAATATCATCATGTGTGTTTGGAGAGAAGTGCAGATGGATGGAAGAATAAAGACGGAATTAAGGAGGAATAAAAGAAGACAAATACAATCTGAAGAAAACAAGGCGAGAGTGAAGGAGGTGAAGAATGGAGGGAATAGAAAAAGAAACAAATTAGACGTGAATGATGCTTTGTGTGTGTGTGTGTGTGTGTGTGTGAAGAGATTCCTCAAATCACACACACACAGTAATTTTTCTTCATTCTGTGTTGAGATGAAGGGAAGCTGCAATATGAGTCTTCTAGAGGAGCAGGATAAAAAACAAACACTGTTATGTATCGGTGTGTGTGTGTGTGTGTGTGTGTGTGTGCAGGGTTGATGATTTCTGTTTCACTGAAAAGTCTTTGTTTTTATTGTGTGTGCTTCGGGGAGAGAAAGGTAGAAAGATAGAAAAAGACAAAAAAGAAGGAGAAAGATACAGAAAATGAGAGAGAGAAAGAGAGAAAGGAAGGAAGAAAGAAAGGCGTTTCTTCATCTATATGGACCATTCTACCTAATTAGTTCAAACCCACAGAGGTCCCACAGAAAAAAAAGTATTCAGACCTTAAATATTAAATACTTAAGAACTGTGTTATGATATATTTAAACCAAAGGCATTAAATGAAACACATAATATCTGCAATGAAGTATTTATTAAAATGCTTAATGAAAATATCATGATCTTATGTGTGTACAGCTGTTCAAAGCTGTGTTTGTTAGTCATGTACTGGCTGGTTTTTGAGTTATGCTCAAAATGAACAAAGTTAAGTTGTCTCAAATGAAACATTTCTTCAGTGATTTTTTC